AATTTTTTTAACACTTAATTAAAATCGCACTTTTGCACTTTGATTTACAAACAAATGCAATGTAAATTTAAAATGTATTTTTTTCTATTGATGTTTCAGTTAGCCTTGGAATTTGAAAAAACTGTTTAAATTTTAATGTACTTTTCTCAAACAAAAATTAGAGTAAAAATAATTTTATTAAAAATATGTGTAATTTTACAATTAAAATGTAAAAGTGTATATAGAAGTAACGATAAAATTGTAACAAAAAGCACTAAAGTGTAATTTTGCATTTATAAACTTGGAGTTTTTTAGGTAAATTAGATAGTTTTGAGTACTGTTGTAAATGTAATTTGTAACTTTCCTTGTGCGTTACATACTTTATTAAAATTACAATTGTTATAATGTAAATTTTAAATGTAAAATAAAAAATTTTCAAAAACGTAAAACGTAATTTTTTCAGTTAGCCTGGAAATTTCCAGATTTGCAATCAAATTTCTATAGAAAAACAATTTTGATGTAATTTTACATCTGTAAACTTTCCTCGAAACAACAGATTTTAGTTTCATTTCACAAAATGGGAGTAACTATTTAAAATAAGCGTAATTTTAGAGGTTGAAAATTGTAATTTTATAATTAAAAAGTGTGGTTTTCCATAATCTTCGTATTAGATTTTTAATTAAAAAAAAGTTTTTTTCACATTTAACTTTTCATGTAATTTTTTAAAATCGTATTTTAGCAAAACTTTTAAATAATGTTGACACACTAAAATGACACTATAGTGTAATTTTACATTCATACACTTGGATTTTTTTAGGTAAATTAGATTACGCAATGTTGTATAAACTTTATTAGAATTACAATTGTTATAATGCAAATTTGAAATGTAAAAATGCGATGTAAATTTAAAATATAAATTTTCTTTCGATTGATGTTTCAGTTATTCTCTCATGAAAATTTCTAGAGAAATCAGTTTGCCTGATGATGTCAGTTTGTGCCGAAACACGTGTCGGCGTTGGATTTCGCTCCAATTCCCTTGATATTTTTCAAGTATTTGAGTTATGGGAGTGACAGATTGCCCCCCTATTATAATATTCAAATTTGCATTATTAGCACACCGAAGCCTATAAATAATAACACCAGCAATATAAACATAATTAAGATAATTAAATTTTAGGATGAAGTTGGACTAGAAATTTGCATTTAACTCTCTAATTAAGTGTCCAACTAATAATTATTAAAGAAAATGCCTACATAATTTTTATCTGTTTGAAATTTTTTCACCAAATTAGACAAACTCAGTGTGCGATTTAACGCTGTGACTAAATTCCGATCAATAATGATGAAATTCTTGCTGGTGGAAATTTATCGTTTGAAACAGTCGAAATTTGCATAAAGTCTCTCGTGTGATCTTATGTGTAGGTTATAATGTAATTTCTTATTTATGCACGTCACTGGTGATAGATGACGACGATTATTAAACATGACAGCGTCGATTACGGCCAATGGAAAAATTACAAAATTTATTGTTGGAAAAGCGACCAAAATGCAACAATTGCGACTTGTCTAAACTTCTTTTTTCTTTTATCTTTCACCAAATTATTATTAATGTCCAAAATGAAAATAAAATGGTACTGAAACTGTAAATTGTACAAAAAATTCAAATGAAAAATATTGACTGTTTTTTTTATTTCGTTTCCATTTTTATCTTTTTTTTACAAAATTGTTCTAAAATCTTAGTAAATCTTGGTAAAGAGTAAATTTTGTTGCTGAGAGTAGTAAATAAATCTTATTTTCTTAATTTTTTACCAAATTGTTTTTAAACTTGTTCAAAAACGGTCCCAAAATTAGAACAAGAAATGCAAATTTGTTTGATGAGTAAAAAATTGTTCATTTTTTCTCATTTATTAATTTTTGTTCTCTTAAATCGTCATTAAATCTCTTAATTGTCTTAGAATTTGAGTAAAAAAAGTCAAGTTTGTTAATTAATCTAACAAATCGGTCATTTTTCCCAAATTGTTTGACTTGTTAGTTGTTCGAGATTAATAATAAATTTTTAATTATCGAAATTAAGAGAAATGTGGTCAAATCTTGTTAGTAAGAGTAATAAATCGTATTTTTTCTTTAACTTTAGTCCTGAGGAGAATAGTAACATTTTTCCGAAATTGCAAATTTCGATAAAATTTGTGCAAAAATATTTTTGGGGTCAGATTATTATCATCATTGATGCAAAATTTGTAGACAAAAACAACACGTTAATTCTACTTTAGTGACGATTCGAAAAAAAAATTATTTTTTGCGACTTTTTCCACTTCTTGTTAATTTTTATGACAAATTATTGTTTCGACTTTTCTTCTTGTAAAATTCATTATTGCAATCTAATTTGAAAATGACAACTTAATAAGTAAATAAACGATCTACTCGTATTTTTTCCTTATTTATCTTCTTTTTTTTTCCTTTTTTTCCTATACTGTTTTACTTTTCCTTTAAATGTTTTAAAAATTTAAATACATTCAAGACGCAACTTAATATTTTTTTCTAAATCTAGAACCTTGCAATTTTAAAGGATATTTGACTCATAAACAAGACCATTTATTTCATACTTTATTGTTTTGTATCATTGTTTTATACGATTTGTCTAAAATTGCCACACTTATTTTACATTTTAAGCCCACGTTAATCTTTAGGAGTAAAAGTGATTCTTTATGTGGCGATGCTAAACGTTTCTTAATAATGCCATGTTACAGCTTAGGAGCAAAAATAGAATTTTTACTAAAAAGTAAAACTTTTACTTGTGTATTATTATTAAGCAAAAGAAAAATAAAGATTTCTTCTTTTTTG